AATTTTCGTTCCACCAAAGTAATCAAAAAAAAATAAAGAGCCAAAAGAAATAAATCTAAGTATGCGGATATTTAGGATGATGTATATCAAAATTATTCTACATACATTCTTGCAATTATATAACAAAATCATATTAAAATTAGCTAGCTAATGCTACAAAAATGAAATGATACTTTTAAGTATTTGAAATTAATAACAAGGTTTATGGCTTTTAAATACACAACTGTGATTTTAAATTTTATTGAAGTTGTAAAGCTGCGAGTATTATATTTATATAAACAATGTCAAGATTTGAAGATATTCAGTCATCTATAATTTAATTATAATATAGATTAGAGCTGAAATGTTAAATTTGATTTAGAAAATGATATTTATTTGTTTTTATTTTTGGAAACATTTTTAAAAAAATGTTATTCAAAGAGAAAAAATCCAACAGATAGGTTATCCTAGATAAGTTTTTTTATAAAATATTTAAAAAAATACAAAATATTAATTGAATACTTTAAACTGCTTTTTGCTTTTGCGAAGAAAAAATTCACTTGCAAAAGATATTAGTATATTAAGAAATTAGCTAAAACTTTTTCCTTCGATACTAATTAAAATAGATAAATATTTTTATATGAAAATAAAAGGGTTTTTCAATTAATCAATTAATTATTATTCATTCATTCATTCACTTAATTTTTAAATTTTAGCCTGAAATTTTGTTCCACCAAAGTAATCAAAAAAAATAAAGAGCCAAAAGAAATTAATCTAAGTATGTGGATATTTAGCGAATAATATGTCATCTAGCTTAAGTTAATAGCCATAATACCTAAAATAGTGTAAAGCTAGTAATATTAAGCTCATCAAGGTGTTAATAACTACATTTAAGTCTCTTGATGGCATTAATATTTTTTAGTATTAGATACTTAATTTTGTATTCTAATAAATTTTAAATGATGAATCTTTAAACATTTCAGACTATTTAATTATGTTACACTTACGAAATTATATAAAATAAAGTAAATTTATTTTATCATAAAATATGGCTCATTCTTTTTATAATATAAATAACTATTAGTTTGTATTTGAAAATTAGGTTTATTTCAATATAATAATTCAATATATAATTTTGTTTGTATGCAAATATTTAACAATATAATTTAAGAGATGTTAGTATATTTTAAAGCTAATAAAAGCATATCTTTGATAAGGCTTTTTTTATCGACTAAATTAATCAAATTTGTTTGAATTAATCACTATAAATAGTGATACTCAAAATCAATTTTGCATATAATTTTCACATCAAAATAAATACACTTGTTTTTAGTAAAAAAGCAAACCTCTCAGCCTACTCTTAGTAAGTTAGTAACCTAGCCAACCCAACTCAAGCATAACGCTAATCAATAGCAAAAATGTCAAAAGCATTCTAATTCTAATTAGTCAAAACAATTTCAGAAAAAGTCTCCAAGGATTGCCAGATTCAAAAGGCAAGTTTGAAAGAAATAATCAAATTGATGTTCAGCCAGAAAAATTATTTCTCAAATTTTGAGTATTTAAGCAATGGCGCTTACGCTGTCGTCTTGAGAGCTTAGAACACTAAAGAGAATCGTACTGTTGCCCTTAAATTCCTAACATATACGAACAAAGAGGATAAGAATAGCATCGAATCTTTGAAAAAAGAATATGAAATGCTTCAGAAGTTCAGCTAATCTGATTTTTTGGTAAATGTCTATGAATGCTTCTATTTAATGGAAGAAAATGTAGAAGAAGATGAAGATGGTAACGAAAAAGTCGTCTTAACAGATGAGAAGTCCTATTTTGTGATGGAAATGGAGCTTTGCTAGTGTAATCAAAATTATAATTTTCATCCATTTATTTTTTTCGCTTTCTCATTTTTTTTAAAACTATGAAGAAGCTCATAGAATATGATACTAATTTATTTTTTTAGCCTTTATGATAATTGAAGTTCAGCCATTTTAAAAAAGTCATTTTAAAAATTTTTCTAAGTCATTTTTGGATTTGATTAATTTTGAAGAAAAAATAGATTTGCGTTAAGCTGATTGATTGATTAATTAATTTAGAAAATATAATAGAATTAGTTTATTTTATAAAATTTTATTAATTTTAAATTTTAAATTCCCCACAGATAAGGTTTTTTTAATTAAATTTTCATTGAATTTTAGAAGGTTTATTTCTTAATTAAATATTCTAGAAGATTAATTAATAAAAATTTTATAATATATTTCCGCAATATTATACAATATTATTAGTAATTTAATTTTATAATATATTAAATTTTATTTTTTAATAATTGACAACGATTCATGAATAAAATTAAAATAAATTAAATTAAACAAATATTTCATTAAAAAACATTTTTATTTTTAATAAATTAAATAATCATTTAAAAAATATATTTAATATATATATAATTTGATAATAGATTAAAAAAAACTCAACATTATTAGGTTAAATTAAAAAATTAAATCTAATATTTTTGATAATTAATTTTAATTTATAAAGGTTTTTGAATTTTAATTAAGCTTTTAATTTTAAACAGAGCAAAAAATTTGAATATTTTTCTTTTATTTGTTAAATAACAATAATATTTTTATTTATCAATAGAAAATCTTAAACAGCTCTTTGATTTTTTAAGAAGTACATAGCTACCCGCTAAAGAAATAAAAGAAATAATAGCTATTCAAATGTTAGAAGGATTGAATAACCTTCATGTCAAAAATATCATGCACAGAGACATCAAACCTCACAATTTTTTAGTTTGTCATTCTCAAACTTACGGATTTACCATCAAACTCTGTAAAAAATTTGAATTTTTACAAAATTTATCAATTTAAAAAATTATTGAAAATCAAGGTGATTTAGGATTTGCATCTGCAGTAACGAAATCGAAAAGTCACTACATATCAAAGGTAAAATCAAAATATTATTTAAAAATAATCTTATATTATTTTAATCTATAGAAAGGAACTGATGCTTACTTTGCTCCTGAGGTAGAAAATGGATAGTCTAGAATTCAGGTTTTTAAATAAAACTAATCTTTTAATTTTTAATTTAATTTTAATGTTTAAAAGTCGGACCTCTTTTCTCTAGGATTAGTTTTACTTGAGCTAGATAATCTAAAAGTTTTAAATGAAAATTGGATAGACTTTAATATAAAAAAAGAGATTCACGAAGGAAAAGCAATAGCTTCAAATTATTAGATTGATAGAAATTCTAATATTTATAAAATAGCTTAGATTTGCTTAAAACCAAATTATTTGGAAAGGACTACTTCAGGAGACCTACTTTCTGAGCTTATTAAGCTTCATGGATAACCATTGAAATTCACACTCACTTCTATGATACTAGAAGTAATAAATGCTTTTATCAATTTTTATCTAGCAAATCTAATTAATCGCTTAATTCAAATTATTTAATTTAATTTTAGATTTTGCTTCTTGATAATAAAAGTCAATTTAATAAAATATTTGATCTTAAAATAAAATAAAAAATATTTAAAGAGCAAATAATTATTATCATAAACAATTTGGATAAAAAAACAATTAAAAATAATATATCAGATTAAATATATGTGAAAAGTTTTTAATAAATGAAACATATATTTAAAAATAAGTTTTTAACTTATGGATGACTAATTTTTTCAAAACAGCCCCCTGGTTTCAAACTTACGACGTTTGCGCCAGGTCTCTCATATTATTATATATATTTTTAATTTTATTTACTAAAAAATAATTATTAAAAATACACTAAAAATTTTTTTTAGACTTACTAAAAAAATTAAATTGCCTCTATAGACAATAAATATTAACTATTATTTTTTTAATGATAGGAACAAATTCCTTAGTAAGCATAACAAATATTCAATAAAATTAATGATCTTCAAAAAAATGATGTAAAAAAATAAATATATTTATTTATATTTTAAATTCCTTCTAAACTATTAATTTTAAGTTGTTTTGATAATAATTTTTTTCTAAGCAAACTTAATTTGAGGAGTATGCACAGATGCTGCTTGATAACACAGAGTCAAAAATAAAGAAAAAAGATACTTATCAACAATTTACAAAAGTAGAAATACTATCCAAACTATTAAAAAGTTTATATGAAGATAAGAAGTATGTCAATAATTTCCAAATTCTTAGTTTTGGATGCTTTGGCATGGTATTATCTACTAAAAAAGCTAAATTGAATAACAAAGAAATAGTACTAAAAATATAAAAGATTGTAAATGAATAAGAAATTTAAAATGAAATTAGAATAATGTAACTATTAAAAACTCCATTAGTAGTCTAGTTGTATGACAATTATGTCATAGAAAAAGTTACAGCACCTGAAAAATATGTAGTTTTTGAGTTAGAAAAGTGTTCATGTAAAACTTTTATATTTTAATTATAATATTACAAATTAATTTTTTATTCAATTAGATCTAAATTTAAAATATACTACTTATCGTATTTTAGTAGCATATTAGGCTATAATAGCCATAAATAATCTATACATTTATTGTTGAGGTTATAATATCTATAGTAATTTAATCTATCATCATTTATTGTAAAATAGGTTCACTCTAGGATTATCTAGAAAGATAAACAAAAGAAGGAGAATTTAGTGATGAAGAAAAGCTGAATATTGCACTCCAAATAATTGACTCTGTCAATTATATTCATTGTTTCAATATTATTCATAGAGATATTAAATCTGACAATTTTTTGGTTTGTTTGGATGGCAATCAACTTTAAATCAAACTATGTAATTAACCTGATAATTTTTAATTACTAAAAATAATTTAATCATTTTAATATAAGGTGATTTTGGATTATCAGCTTAACTTGGAAAAGATTGTGAATAGATCGAAAGTTTAGATGTAAATTATTTACTTATTTTGAAACTATCAAGAAATTTGAATATATTTTTAGATGGTAGGAAATTGGGCGTACATGGCACCTGAAATCTTAACTAAATAAGATGATTAATATAAGATATATTCTAAAAAAGTAATTATTTTTATTACTATTTGTAAATAAATATAATTATTTTTTTTTCAGTCGGATTCTTACTCAGTTGGTTTACTATTATCTTTGCTTGACAACTACTTAATTTTGAAAGAAATAGTAGGAACTACTTTCATAAATATGACTTTAGAGTAATATGATGAGCCTTTCAAAAAATAAAACATAAATATTAAGCAGGACACTGAAATATTTAAATTTATTAAACTCTTAGTTGTCTGGGAAAGAGTCAACAGAGCTTCTCTTTCTATTATTATTGAATAAAACTCAAAAAAATTTAAATCAAACTAAAATGAGATGAAATAAATTATATCATAGCATTCTTTAAATCCAAAATAAAATGCTGAAACTGTAAACATAGGATCTACTGCTCCATTAATTTCTTAAAATTAGATTCCAATTTAAGAAATCAAGTAGATTAAGATAAAGAGTATGATGGATTTGTATAAAATTATAGAATTTCATAATGTTGAAATAGATTTAAGGTAATAATTATATTAAATTTAATTTAAATTAAAATTAAAATATCAAAAAATTATTGCTTAAGAATTCAAATAAAAGATATAATTAACATTTTATTTTTAAAAGAAATTATAAATGATTTCATATTTAATCATTTATGATGGATTTTTTCTTTCTATAAAAAGTTAAAAACATTTTAAATTAAAGATAAAATTATTATCTATTATTACAATTTTTAATAAACAAATAAGTTTTATTATTTAGTTTATTAAAAAATATTTTTGAGTGGTTAGTAAAAATTGCAAATGCAAAAAAATCACAAAAACATAAAAATCAAAAAAATTTCAAAAAATGATAAAATAAAAAATACAAAATTACTAAAAAAAATAAAATTACTATTTTGTTTTTTTTTTAATATTTCTTTCTTCTTTAAAGGAGAAATGGCAGCTACCCTGGATTTCCCCTAACTCTGTCACAATATAAGCCCCTATTTATAATTATATATTGAGAATGGAATATTTAAAGCTTTTGACATAGTTATTAGCTAATTAAGCCAGCTTGTTTGTCATTTACTAACTTGCTTATTTACTTATTTACTTACTAACCAAATAAAATATAACGAATTTATTTACTTACTTACTTATCACAACACAGCTAAAATACTAACGAAAGCCATCGTTTTTTTACCATTCTTTCTCCTCCATATTTATTTATTTAATTCGTTATTTATTCTTATATTTAAAGAAAGAATAATATTGGTACATATGGTGCAAAAGATTTAGGCACAGGAATAGCCTAGTGCAAGAATATCACAACTTTGACGCTTGAATTATAGTAAAAATTTAATTTATTGATTGATAAACTAATATTTGAGAATGGAATATTTTAAGATTTTGACATAGTTATTAGCTAATTAAGCCAGCTTGCTTGTCATTTACTAACTTGCTTATTTATTTATTTATTTATTTATTTATTTATTTATTTATTTATTTATTTACTTACTAACCAAATAAAATATAACGAATTTCTTTACTTACTTACTCATCCCAACACAACTAAAATACTAACGAAAGCCATCGTTTTTTAACCATCCTTTCTCCTCTATATTTATTTATTTAATTAGTTATTTATTCTTATATTTAAAGTTGGAATAAAATTGGTGATGAGGGTGCAAAAGATTTAGGCACAGGAATAGCCTAGTGTAAGAATATCACAACTTTGACGCTTGAATTATAGTAAAAATTTAATTTATTGATTGATAAACGAAAAATTGAGAATGGAATATTTGAAGCTTTTGACATAGTTATTAGCTAATTAAGCCAGCTTGCTTGTTATTTACTAACTTGCTTATTTACTTATTTACTTACTAACCAAATATAATATAACGAATTTCTTTACTTACTTACTCATCACAACACAACTAAAATACTAACGAAAGTATTTTGTTTTTTTACCATCCTTTCTCCTCCATATTTATTTATTTAATTCGTTATTTATTCTTATATTTAAAGAAAGAATAATATTGGTGATGAGGGTGCAAAAGATTTAGGCACAGGAATAGCCTAGTGCAACAATATCACAACTTTGACGCTTAACTTAAGGTAAAAATTTAATATATTGATTGATAAACTAATAATTGAAAATGGAATATTTTAAGCTTTTGACATAGTTATTAGCTAATTGAGCCAGCTTGCCTGTGATTTACTAACTTGCTTATTTACTTATTTACTTACTAACCAAATATAATATAACGAATTTCTTTACTTACTTACTCATCACAACACAACTAAAATACTAACGAAAGCCATCGTTTTTTTACCATCCTTTCTGCTACATATTTATTTATTTAATTCGTTATTTATTCTTATATTTAAAGAAAGAATAATATTGGTGCATAGGGTGCAAAAGATTTAGGCACAGGAATAGCCTAGTGCAACAATATCACAACTTTGACGCTTGAATTATAGTAAAAATTTAATTTATTGATTGATAAACTAATAATTGAGAATGGAATATTTTATGCTTTTGATATAGTTATTAGCTAATTAAGCCAGCTTGTTTGTCATTTACTAACTTGCTTATTTACTTATTTACTTACTAACCAAATAAAATATAACGAATTTCTTTACTTACTTACTCATCACCACACAACTAAAATACTACGAAAGCCATCGTTTTTTTACCATATTTTCTCCTCCATATTTATTTATTTAATTCGTTATTTATTCTTATATTTAAAGAGAGAATAATATTGGTGCATAGGGTGCAAAAGATTTAGGTACAGGAATAGCCTAGTGCAAGAATATCATAACTTTGACGCTTAACTTATAGTAAAAATTTAATTTATTGATTGATAAACGAAAAATTGAGAATGGAATATTTTAAGCTTTTGACATAGTTATTAGCTAATTAAGCCAGCTTGCTTGTCATTTACTAACTTGCTTATTTATTTATTTACTTACTAACCATATAAAATATAATGAATTTCTTTACTTACTTACTCATCACAACACAACTAAAATACTAACGAAAGCCATCGTTTTTTTACTATTCTTTCTCCTCCATATTTATTTATTTAATTCGTTATTTATTCTTATATTTAAAGTTAGAATAAAATTGGTGATGAGGGTGCAAAAGATTTAGGCACCGGAATAGCCTAGTGCAACAATATCACAACTTTGACGCTTAACTTAAGGTAAAAATTTAATTTATTGATTGATATACTAATAATTGAGAATGGAATATTTTAAGCTTTAGACATAGTTATTAACTAATTAAGCCAGCTTGCTTGTCATTTACTAACTTGTTTATTTACTTATTTACTTACTAACCAAATAAAATATAACGAATTTGTTTACTTACTTACTCATCACAACACAACTAAAATACTAACGAAAGCCATCGTTTTTTTACCATCCTTTCTGCTACATATTTATTTATTTAATTCGTTATTTATTCTTATATTTAAAGAAAGAAAAATATTGATTTAGGCACTGGAATAGCCTAGAGCAAGACTATCACAACTTTGATGCTTGAATTATAGTAAAAATTTAATATATTGATTGATAAACTAATATTTGAAAATGGAATATTTTAAGCTTTTGACATAGTTATTTGCTAATTAAGCCAGCTTGCTTGTCATTTACTAACTTGCTTATTTACTTATTTACTTACTAACCAAATAAAATATAACGAATTTCTTTACTTACTTACTCATCACAACACAACTAAAATACTAACGAAATCCATCGTTTTTTTACCATCCTTTCTCCTCCATATTTATTTATTTAATTCGTTATTTATTCTTATATTTAAAGTTGGAATAATATTGGTACATAGGGTGCAAAACATTTAAGCACCGGAATAGCCTAGTGCAAGAATATCACAACTTTGATGCTTAACTTAAGGTAAAAATTTAATTTATTGATTGATAAACTAATAATTGAGAATGGAATATTTTAAGCTTTTGACATAGTTATTAGCTAATTAAGCCAGCTTGCTTGTCATTTACTAACTTGCTTATTTACTTATTTACTTACTAACCAAATATAATATAACGAATTTCTTTACTTACTTACTCATCACAACACAACTAAAATACTAACGAAAGCCATCGTTTTTTTACCATAATTTCTCCTCCATATTTATTTTTTTAATTCATTATTTATTCTTATATTTAAAGTTGGAATAATATTGGTGATGAGGGTGCAAAAGAATTAGGCACCGGAATAGCCTAGTGCAAGAATATCAAAACTTTGATGCTTAACTTAAAGTAAAAATTTAATTTATTGATTGATAAACTAATAATTGAGAATGGAATATTTTAAGCTTTTGATATAGTTATTAGCTAATTAAGCCAGCTTGCTTGTCATTTACTAACTTGCTTATTTACTTATTTACTAACTAACCAAATAAAATATAACGAATTTCTTTACTTACTTACTCATCACAACACAACTAAAATACTAACGAAAGCCAACGTTTTTTTACCATCCTTTCAACTACATATTTATTTATTTAATTCGTTATTTATTCTTATATTTAAAGAAAGAATAATATTGTTGATGAGGGTGCAAAGGTTTTAGGCACAGGAATAGCTTAGTGCAAGAATATTACAACTTTGACGCTTAACTTAAGGTAAAAATTTAATTTATTGATTGATAAATGAAAAATTGAGAATGGAATATTTTGGTAATTTACGTGGTAAGCGCACATGCGCATGCGCATATGTGCGCAGGCATTAGTTTTTAACGCCAAAAGTAACGCCAAGCGCACATTTTTTTTTTTATGTGCGCTCGCCACGTGAGAATCCGAATATTTTAAGGCTTTTGACATAGTTATTAGCTAATTAAGCCAGATTGCTTGTCATTTACTAACTTGCTTATTTACTTATTTACTTACTAACTAAATAAAATATAACGAATTTCTTTACTTACTTACTCATCACAACACAACTAAAATACTAACGAAAGCAATCGTTTTTTTATCATCCTTTCTCCTCCATATTTATTTATTTAATTCGTTATTTATTCTTATATTTAAAGTTGGAATAAAATTGGTGATGAGGGTGCAAATGTTTTAGGCACAGGAATAGCCTAGTGCAAGAATATCACAACTTTGACACTTGAATTATTGTAAAAATTTAATTTATTGATTGATAAACTAATAATTGAGAATGGAATATTTTAAGCTTTTGATAAAGTTATTAGCTAATTAAGCCAGCTTGTTTGTCATTTACTAACTTGCTTATTTACTTATTTACTTACTAACCAAATAAAATATAACGAATTTCTTTACTTACTTACTCATCACAACACAACTAAAATACTAACGAAAGCCATCGTTTTTTTACCATTCTTTCTCCACCATATTTATCTATTTAAATCGTTATTTATTCTTATATTTAAAGAGAGAATAATATTGGTGATGAGGGTGCAAAAGATTTAGGCACAGGAATAGCCTAGTGCAAGAATATCGCAACTTTGACACTTAACTTAAGGTAAAAATTTAATTTATTGATTGATAAACAAAAATTGAGAATGGAATATTTTAAGCTTTTGACATAGTTATTAACTAATTAAGCCAGCTTGTTTGTCATTTATTAACTTGCTTATTTACTTATTTACTAACTAACCAAATAAAATATAACGAATTTGTTTACTTACTTAATCATCTCAACATAACTAAAATACTAACGAAAGCCATCGTTTTTTTACCATCCTTTCTCCTCCATATTTATTTATTTAATTCGTTATTTATTCTTATATTTAAAGAAAGAATAATATTGGTGATGAGGGTGCAAAAGTTTTAGGCACAGGAATAGCCTAGTGCAAGAATATCACAACTTTGACGCTTGAATTATAGTAAAAATTTAATTTATTGATTGATAAACTAATAATTGAGAATGGAATATTTTAAGCTTTTGACATAGTTATTAGCTAATTAAGCCAGCTTGCTTATCATTTACTAACTTGCTTATTTACTTATTTACTTACTAACCAAATAAAATATAACGAATTTGTTTACTTACTTACTCATCACAACACAACTAAAATACTAACGAAAGCCATCGTTTTTTTACCATCCTTTCTCCTCCATATTTATTTATTTAATTCATTATTTATTCTTATATTTAAAGTTGGAATAATATTGGTGATGAGGGTGCAAAAGATTTAGGCACAGGAATAGCCTAGTGCAAGAATATCACAACTTTGACACTTGAATTATTGTAAAAAATTAAATTTGTAGATTGATAAACGAAAAATTGAGAATGGAATATTTTAAGCTTTTGACATAGTTATTAACTAATTAAGCCTGCTTGCTTGTCATTTACTAACTTGCTTATTTACTTATTTACTTACTAACGAAATAAAATATAACGAATTTCTTTACTTACTTACTCATCACCACACAACTAAAATACTAACGAAAGCCATCGTTTTTTTACCATATTTTCTCCTCCATATTTATTTTTTTAATTCGTTATTTATTCTTATATTTAAAGAGAGAATAAAATTGGTGATGAGGGTGCAAAAGATTTAGGCACAGCAATAGCCTAGTGCAAGAATATCACAACTTTGGCGCTTAACTTAAGGTAAAAATTTAATTTATTGATTCATAAATGAAAAATTGAGAATGGAATATTTTAAGCTTTTGACATAATTATTAGCTAATTAAGCCAGCTTGCTTGTCATTTACTAACTTGCTTATTTACTTATTTACTTACTAACCAAATAAAATATAACGAATTTCTTTACTTACTTACTCATCACAACACAACTAAAATACTAACGAAAGCCATCGTTTTTTTACCATCCTTTCTCCTCCATATTTATTTATTTAAATCGTTATTTATTCTTATATTTAAAGAAAGAATAATATTGGTGATGAGGGTGCAAAAGTTTTTGGCACAGGAATAGCCTAGTGCAAAAATATCACAACTTTGACGCTTAACTTAAGGTAAAAATTTAATTTATTGATTGATAAACGAAAAATTGAGAATGGAATATTTTAAGCTTTTGACATAGTTATTAGCTAATTAAGCTAGCTTGCTTGTCATTTACTAACTTGTTTATTTACTTATTTACTTACTAACCAAATAAAATATAACGAATTTCTTTACTTACTTACTCATCACAACACAACTAAAATACTAACGAAAGCCATCGTTTTTTTACCATCCTTTCTGCTCCATATTTATTTATTTAATTCGTTATTTATTCTTATATTTAAAGTTGGAATAAAATTGGTGATGAGGGTGCAAAAGTTTTAGGCACCGGAATAGCCTAGTGCAAAAATATCACAACTTTGACGCTTAACTTAAGGTAAAAATTTAATTTATTGATTGATAAACTAATAATTGAGAATGGAATATTTTAAGCTTTTGACATAATTATTAGCTAATTAAGCCAACTTGCTTGTCATTTACTAACTTGCTTATTTACTTATTTACTTACTAACGAAATAAAATATAACCAATTTCTTTACTTACTTACTCATCACAACACAACTAAAATAATAATGAAATCCATCTTTTATATAATTTTTTGTCTGGCATGCATACATTGCAAATTGAACATATTTTTTAAAATTAAACAAAAAATATCAACTACAAAGTGAACAACTTGTACAGCCACCCTTTTTTTTAAATGAACATTTTTACTAAGACTATTTCTATTACATTCTGTTCACTTAAAAAATAATCCCTTTTTTTAGTTATTAGATTTATTTAAAACATAATCATATTTATTAAAAAAAGTATTATTATTTTCAATATTTTTTCAGTTATTAAAATAATTAAAAATTCTTAGTTGTAATCTTAAAACTAACAAAATATTTATTTATTTAAAATTCTTTGACTATTTCTTGAAATTATAATTTTTAATTTTAAAGTTTAGGTTATGGTTTGACAATTCAATTAAAGGATTTATTTGAAAAATAATTATAAGCTCAAAAAGTAAAATATAATTAATTAAATTTATAAAAAATTTAATTATTTTAACTAATAAAATAGATAACTATAGAATGACAATCAACTAATAGATACATTTAGCAAACCTGATTAATAATTTATATATTAAAAAGTTAATCTCTCCATAAATAAATATGTTTCATAAAAATATTTATTTAATAATTTTGTTTTTTATAAGTATATTGATTAATTAGATCATGTTGATTATTTATTGTTTGATTTATACCTAAAAACTTTTTTTAAATTCTAATCAGAAGTATATATATAATCTTTGAAAATATTTTATTTTTAAAAGCATTAGTTGATGTGATGAATTTATATAATTTATTAGAAATACTACTATATGGATCTAACAATATAATTTTAAATATGCCTAACAAAAAAAGTATTATTTCATAAATACAAGGCAATCAGGTTTTTTAATTATATTTGGATAAAATTACTTTTCTCTCTAAATAAATAAATAATGTTCGTTTAAGTTTGTAAAAGCAATAAAATAATTATCTAAATAATAGCATTCATTTTAAATTATAAGCATTTGTAATAAATAAAATACTGATTAAATAAAATTCTCATTTAATATTTTTATTAACATATTGCTAATCCAGGTATTGAAATTCCGCTGACTGGATACATAATGTCAGCGGAATTTCAATAAGATTTTATTTAAAATTTGAAAGCTAAGTAGCCTTCTTGCTTTTTTTATTTTAATTTGTCAGAATTTATCAGATCTACCTGTGATTTTATTAAAAAGAAAGGCCTTTTTATTTATTATGAAAAATTAATTTTTTTGCTTTAATATAAAACCAATTAGCGAAATTTAAAGAGATACTATTTATTATAAATGAACTAATTCATATATATAAATCTTATATTATTCTAAAAATGATATTTATTTCTATTAAATTTAAGATATTTTCTTAAGAAAAATTATATCAAAAATCTTTCAGATAATATTTAGTTTTATTTTAATCTGGATAATATTAATTATCAGTAATATTTATCCTCTTTATTTAAACATTAACGATTTATTTTTGTTTATAAAAATATGTAAGTTTTGGAATTTGTTCTTTGACATCTTTACTAATTATTAGTTTAACAGTATTAATATTTGATTTGGAAAAACTCTTAATTATTTTAGATAAATCATTTTCGTCAAAATATCCCCACAATTTAAGAATTAAATTAAGTTATATTAATGATTTGAATCCTTGCAAATCAAATAATTCATATGTATATTCGTAAATATAAGTCAATTGTTGCAAATTTATGAATTCACAGGAAAGCCATACTTCCAAATTAGTTGTTTTATATGCTAAATATTTCTTTAAGTAATCTTATCCAAAAATTTCTTTGAAATATGCTAAAGTGATTGAAAATTCAAATAGTTATTATATTTGTTTGTAATTTTCGTATCTAAGTAAAATATATTGTTGATCACCAATCAAGTAGTATATATTTTCATCAAATATCAAAATATTCAGTTTTTAAAAAGCAAGATAACCTTCTAATTCAAAGTTATATTCTAAAACTGTACAATTTTAATTTTTTAGCACTTCAATTTCATTTTCATTGAATTCATTTATATTTATTGTTTTACTCAATTAATCATTTTCATTCTATTCATAAAAAACATTTACTTTGATTTATCCAAATTTTTTGTCTTGTTAGAATACTTTTAAATCATATAAGAATTTTTAAATAAACCAACTTTGTTATTTCAAAAATAATTCCTATAATTTATCCTCCTCTACACCTTTATTTTCATATTATTTCCACATTAATTACTAAAAAAGTTATTTTAAACATTTAGGGAAAGTCTATGAATTAATTACAAGAGAATTTATTTAAAGAGAAGGATTAATTTTACTTAATTCTAATATCTTTTTAAATGATTTAGGACTACAACTCATCTGTTTAGAAAGAGCTATTTAAATTTTATTTATATTTTTTTCTGAAATCTTAATTTTTGAATAGAATTTATATTATCCCATAAAAATTAAATTATTTATTATTAACAAGAGTCTATTGAAAACATCTGAAATAGTTTCTAACTAAATTTCAGAAATCTTTTAGAAAAAAATCTCAATTAAATTTTAGATAGTATTTTTAAAATTTTTTACAGGCTCATTATTATGATATTCAACAAAATGCTAATGAAGCTAAAATTCATTAATTTCAGTATATTAAGTTGGAAATTGTTAAATGCTTAATCCATCAATAGTGAATGCATTTTATAGATCCTCATTAAAGTCAATTTCATTATCTTCATCTGAATCATAACCATATTATCTACCAATAAGTATATTTTCTGGGTTTATTTTTGTAATTTAAATACCGTTTTTTAATAACAGCTAATAACTGTAATTTATAAACTTTTTTAAATCCTTTAAGCTTAAATTACGATAAAAAAATTTTTTTTGTTATTTTTAAAGCTATCCAATAAAAGTTTTTTCAACTAAAACGTAGATTTGTTGTGGATTTATTTAGATTTATTCAATATTTAAAAATGTTGAAGAAATCTAATTTTTAACAATAGATTCATATTAATTAGCTAAACTTTGTGCTTACTCAACAGAGCAAGCTTTGTAACCTTCTAACAAAATAGTTTATTTCCCTTTATTAACATTCAAGATAAAGAAACTTTCATTTGATTCTAAAACTTCAAAGCTTGTGTACTTTGGGTGTTTTTAAATGATCTCAAAAATTTCCAAGCAATGAAAATTCAAAATTTTTGAGAAAGTATTCTAAATCGCATTAGAAAGATCTTTTTTGGGTATTTTCATTTTAATTAGTTTAATTATATCCTAAATTTGGTCTAAATATTTTTATTACTTCCTAGCAAACTCATTACTTTAGCTTTATAGTGGCAGGTGATCTATTATTTTCTCAAAACTCATATTTTTCTTCGCTTATTTTTAATTTTTTTCTTCTTCAACTTAGTTTTAATCTTCATCATCCTCTTCAATTTCAATTTCACTTTCATTAAATTATTAATTTTCACTTTCATTATCATCTACTTGTTAGTAATGTTATTGGTAATAATTTTGATTATTATTAATATATTAATTTTATTACTATTCAATATAAGGACTAATCAAATTAAGTTTAATTTGGATTTTATCTTAATTTATTAACATAACATAAAATTCAAGATAACCTCCATTATTTATGTAATCAAAATCACGCACCAAATTTAGATTTTCTTAGAAGTAATTGTAAATTTCCTCTTTCAAAGAATTAATAGTTTTATGATTGAGCAGGTATTATTTTTCAAAGTTTTCTAAGGATTAATCATAATATTCCATTTCAAATACATAAAATTTTCTTTCAGTGTCAAGGTAATATTAATTAATTAAATTTAAAATAATATCGTTTCTCAGGACGCTTTTCATTATTTTTTGATACTATGAGATATCATTTGCGTTTTCTATTGCTTAAATAATAATCAACAGTTTAAATCTTAATTCTTGATTATCAAAAACTTTAGCATGTCTATAACTGAAATTAGTAATATCTAATTTATTTTTTAATTCACCCGAGTCTATAAATTCGACAAAATCTAAATGAGTCTTTTGTAAATTTATACATAGCTTGATATAACTATCTTGCAATAAATTGTATTAATTTTTGAATTGATTTAATATTTTTTTAAACATTTTTTAGTTTATTGATAGATAGATACTTTATTAATTAATTAATAATTTATTAATTATATGCTAATTTCACCCAACTCTTAAAGAAGATAAAATTCATTTCGCGCTTTAGAATTCACTAAATTTTATTTGAAAAAGATATTTTCTATTATCAATTTAAATACAATAAAGATCTATATTTTCCCCGCATTTTATGATAAAAATATAAAAAATGCGGGGAAAATATTTTGAATGGAGGGGTGCGGGGAAAATATCGATTACTGTATTTAGATTTTATTTACACTTTTGCTAATGAAAAACAAATAATCCAACAAGCAAGAACAAACAAATAAATAATGAACCTGAAAATGTTAAAAGCATTAAAAAAAAATAATATTATTCATTTTAAATTAAAAATACACATAACACAATACAATAATTTTTTTTATATTTATAAGAATAGTGATTAAATGAATCTAACACTTATTTTTATTCTGGTTAACATATTTTTATATAAAATTTAATCAACATTCATTCATTCACACATATTCAAAATTTGAATTATTTTCGCGCTTTAGAATTCACCAAATTTATTTTGAAAGAGATATTAATTTCCCCTATTCATTTAAAAATTAATATTATTATTCTTTCATCCAAACAATAAAACATTGAATCAATCAATAACAAATAAATAAATAATGGTTCTTAAAGTTTGTAAAACCAATAAAAAAAAAATATTAATAATAAATATCATTCATTTTTAATTAAAAACATATATAAAATTCAACCATTCATTATTTTATTTTTATAAGAATAGTGATTAAATAAATCTAATAGCTATTTTTATTTTAATTAACATTCTTTAAATGAAATTTAATCAGCATTCATTCACAAATATATTCTGTATGAAATAATTATTTTCGCGCTTTAGAATTCCCCAAATTTATTTTGAAAAAGTTATTAATTTTTTACTCATTTAAAAATTAATATTTATTTATTCTTTATACAAAAAATAAAACAATTAATCAACCAATCAAGCAAGCAAGAACTAGTAAATAAATAATGATCCTTAAAGTTTGTAAAAGAAATAAAATAGTTATCTAAATAAAAAATTCATTTTAAATAACAAGTATTCATAATAAATAAAATACGGATTAATTTCATCAAATAAATCTATTCAGTATTTATCTAAATAATAGAGAGCAAGTTCGAATAATTTAATTGTATATTGAGCTATAAAATCTTCTTTAAAATTGTTGAGTTAGAGTTTAGAAATTTTTAAAACAAGCTCGACTCTAAATTAGTCATATAAATTTTTAAAAAGAAAATTCAAAAAAAAAATTGACTCAAATGTTATAACATATTTCAATTATTATTATTATTATTTAATTACAGATGTTTCAAATAAAATAACACTTATATTTTTTTTTTCATGTATTTTTATATATCATATCCTGATAATTTTAAGCTAAATTTTAATAATATGAAAAGAGTTTTAGATAATTTATGGTAGGTACTTTCCATCATTTCAGATAGACTAATATTTATTTAATGATTTTGTATGTTTTAAAACCGTTTTGTTAATTTTTTAATTTTAATTTATTTGTTAAATTGTTAATTCTCTTTAGTTTATTAGATTGAAAAAAATTATTAATGATTAAATTTTTATTTTTCATAATTTAAATTACTTTAAAATACTTTATAAAAATCTAAATAATCTCAACTATAAAAACTCAACTCAAAAATATTGAAATCAAAAAAATAACTATTTAATCTAAATAAAATATATTCTAAATAAAATATATTCTAAATAAAATATCCTTTTTAACAAAATGTACAAAACTGATTAGCAAAATTTAAAGAGATACAATTATACATGAGCTAATTTATATAGGAAAATCTTATATTATTCTATAAATTATATTTATTTCTATTAAATTTAAGATAATTTCTGAAGAAAAATTTTCTCAAAAAGCTTTAAGAAAATATTTACTTTTAATGTAAGTTGAATTATCTTCATATTTATCATAAATAAATTTTATCCTCTTTATTTAAACATTAACGATTTATTTTTGTTTATAAAAATATGTAAGTTTTGGAATTTTTTCTTTATTATCTTTATCAAATATTAGATTAACAGTATTAATATTGGATTAGGAAAAATTCTTAATTACTTTAGAGAAATCAAGTTTGTCAGAATAGCTCCAAAATTGAATAACTAAATTTAATTATATTAACGATTTCAATCCCTGCAAATCAAGTAATTTATTTGTATCTTCGTAAATATAAGTCAATTATTGCAAATTTACGAATTCTTAACAAAACCAAACTTGAAAATTAGTTGTTTAATATGCTAAATATTTCTGTAAGTAATTTTATCCAAAAATTTCTTTGAAATATGCTAAAGTGATTGAAAATTCAAATAGTTATTATATTTCTTTGTAATTTTTGTATCTAAGTAAAAGATATTGTTGATCACCTATCAAGTAGTATATATTTTCATCAAATATCAAAATATTCAGTTTTTAGAAAGCAAGATAATCTTCTAATTCAAAGTTATATTCTAAAACTGTACAATTTTAATTTTTTAACAGATCAATTTCATTTTCATTGAATTCATTTAGATTTATTATTTTACTCAATTAATCATTTTCATTCTATTCATAAAAAACATTTACTGTGATTTATCCAAATTCTTAATTAAGCGAGGATACTTTTAAATCTTATAAGAATTATTAAATAAACAAACTTTGATATTTCAAAAATAAATCCTATAATTTATCCTCCTCTACACCTTTATTTTCATATTCCAGCATTAATTACTAAAAAAGTTATTTTAAACATTCAGGGAAAGTGTATGAATTAATTACAAGAGAATTTATTTAAAGAGAAGGATTAATTTTACTTAATTCTAATATCTTGTTAAATGGTTTAGGAAAACAACTCATGTGTTTACAAAGAGCTATTTAAATTTTATTTATATTTTTTTCTGAAATCTTAATTTATGCATAGTTCTAATATTATTTCATAATAATTAAATTATTAATTATTAACTAGAGTCTATTGAAAACATCTAAAATATTTTCTAACTTAAGTTCAGAAATTTATTAGAAAAAAATCTCAATTAAATTTTAGATAGAATTTTTAAAATTTTATACTCTCTCATTATTATTGTTTTAAACAACATGCTTATGAAGCTCAAATTCATAAATTTCTGTATATTAAGTTGTAAATTGTTAAATGCTTAACTCATCAATAATGAATGCATTTTATAGATCCTGATTCAAGCTAATTTCATTATCTTCATATGAATCACTACCATATTAATTACCAATAAGTATATTTTCAGGGTTTATTTTTGTAATTTAAATACTGTTTTTAATTAACAACTAATAACTATAATTTATAAAATTTTTTAAATCATTTAAGCTTAAATTACGATAAAAAAATATTATATCTTATTTTTTAAGCTATTCAATAAAAGTTTTTTCCACTAAAATGTAGATTTGCTGTGGATTTATTTAGATTTATTCAATATTTAAAAATGTTGAAGAAATCTAATTTTTAACAATAGATTCATATTAATTAGCTAAACTGTGTGCTTACTCAACAGAGCAAGCTTTGTAACCTTCTAACAAAATAGTTTATTTCCCTTTATTAACTTTCAAGATAAAGATACTTTCATTTGACTCTACAACTTCAAAACTTTTGTAGTTTGGGTGCTTTTAAATGATCTCAAAAATTTCCAAGGGATGAAAATTCAAAATATTTGAAAAAGTATTCTAAATCACATTAGAAAGATCTTTTTTGGGTATTTTCATTTTAACTAGGTTAATTATATCCTAAATTTGATCTAAATATTTTTATTATTTTCTAGCAAACTCATTACTTTAGCTTTCTAGTGGCAGATGATCTATTATTTTCTCAAAACTTGTATTTTTCTTCACTTATTTTTAATTGCCAGGTTACATATTTTTTTCTTTTTTAATTTATAATTCTTCATTATTAAATTATTGATTTAAAGATAAATTACTTTTGCAATAATTATTTTCATTTTTATCCTCATCTTCTATATCATTATCTCCATCAATTTCAAGTTTATTTTCTTCTTTAATTTCAGTTTAAATTTCATTTTTTTCTTATTCTTCTACTTCACTTTCATCTTCAACTTAATTCTAATCTTCATCATCTTCTTTAATTTCAATTTGAATTTCGCTTTCTTATTATTCTTATTCTTCTATTTCACTTTCATTTTCAGTTTGGGATTCATTTTCATTTTCATTTTCTTCTTCTTCTACTTCATTTTCATCTTCAACTTAATTTTAATCTTCACTTTCTTCTTATTCTTCTACTTCACTTTCATTTATAATTTAGGATTCATTTTCATTTTCTTCTTCTTCTTCTTCAACTTAATTTTAATCTTCATCATCATCTTCAATTTGAATTTCATTTTCACTTTCATTAGAATTTTAATTTTCACTTTCATCTACTTGTTGGTCATCTTATTGGTCTTAATTTTGATTAGTTTCAATTTCTTACTTTTCAATAAAAGGACTAATCAAATTAAGTTTAATTTGGATTTTATCTTAATTTAGTGACATAACATAAAATTCAAGATAATCTCCATATCCTGTGTCTTCAAAATTATGCGCTAAATTTAGATTTCCTTCGAAGTAAGTATAAATTTCCTGTTTCAAAGAATTAATAGTTTGACGATTGAGTAGGTATTATTTCTCAAAGTTTTCTAAGGATTAATCATAATATTCCATTTCAAATACATAAAAGATTTTTTCAGTATCAAGGTAATATTAATTAATTAAATTTAAAGTAATATCGTTTCTCAGAATGGTTTTCGTTATTTTTTGATAATAAGAGATAGCATTTGTGTTTTCTATTGTTTATATAATAATCAACAATTTATATCTTAATTCTTGATTATCAAAAACTTTAGCATGTCTGTAACTGAAGTTAGTAACTTCTAATTTTTTTTTTAATTCATCCAAGTTTATAAATTCCACAAAATCTAAATGAGTCTTTTGTAAATTTATACATAGCTTGATATAACTATCTTGCAATAAGTTGTATGAATTTTTTAATTTATTTAACATTTTTTCAAATCTTTTTTTAGTTTATTGATAGATAGATACTTTATTAATTAATTAATTATATCCTAATTTTGCTCAACTCTTAAAGAAGATAAAATTCGTTTCGCGCTTTAGAATTCATCAAATTGATTTTGAAAAAGATATATATTTTCTTTTATTAATTTCAATATTTAGACTTTATTTATTCTTTTTCCTAATGAAAAAACAAATAATCCAGCAAGAACAAATAAATAAATATACAAATAATGAACATGAAAATGTTTAATAGTATATCATTAATTTTAGATTAAACAATTAGATAATAAATACAACAATTATTTTATTTTTATTAGAAAAGTGATTCAATGAATCTAAAGTTTATTTTTATTCTAATTGGCATATTTTATATAAAATTTAATCAATATTCATTCACACACACATATTCTGTACTTGAATAATTATTTTCGAGCTTTAGAATTCATCAAATTGATTTTGAAAAAGATATTTCCTTTTATTAATTTAAATATTTAGACTTTATTTATTCTTTTTCCTATCAGCAAGAACAAATAAATAAATAAACAAATAATGAACATGAAAATGTTTAATAGTATTTAAAAAAATAATATCATTTATTTTAGATTAAACAATTAGATAATAAATACAACAATTATTTTATTTTTATTAGAAAAGTGATTCAATGAATCTAAAGTTTATTTTTATTCTAATTGGCATATTTTATATAAAATTTAATCAATATTCATTCACAGACACATATTCTGTACTTTAATAATTATTTTCGCGCTTTAGAATTCATCAAATTGATTTTGAAAAAGATATTTATTTCTTTTACTCATTTAAAAATTAATATTTATTTATTCTTTATCCAAACAATAAAACAATCAATAAAGCAAGTAAGTAAGTAAGAACAAGTAAATAAATAAAGATCCTTAAAGTTTTTAAAAGCAATAAAATAGCTATCTAAATAATAACATCAATTTTAATTTATAAGCATACATAATAAATACAATACTGATTAAATAGAATTCTTATTTAGTATTTTTATTAACATATATTTTATATGAAATTTAATCAAAATTCACACATATTTATTTTTTACACATTTATTCACAAAATTTATTTAAATAAGATATTTAATTTAGTAATTTAATATAAATTAGTGTTTATTTATTTATTTATTTATTATGATTCTTTTTCCTATATAAAAAAAAATAAAACAAAAATAAATATTTATCAAATATATATATTGAGTATTTATATAAACAATAGAGAAGAGAACAAGTTATAATAATTTAACTGTATATTTATTGAACAAAAAAAACCTACTTCTAAATTTTTGAGTTAGAGTTTAAAAACAAACAAACTTTAAAACAAGTTCAACTCTATCTAAAGTGAGTATATATATAAATTTTTTAAAAAGAAAATTCAAAAAAAAAAAAATTGACTCAAATGTTAATATCATATTTCATTTATCACTTAATTATATATAATATGGTAGGTTGCTATAAAAATTTTTTCATATCAATTATATTATTAAAAATTTGATTTTAATTATCTTAATTAAATCAAAACACAAAATTTCACTTATTGTAAATCGAAATGGCATTTTACTCTATATATGCTCAGTTTTAATGAAATAAATTAAAACAAAAAATAAAAGTAGCTTTATTTTTTATTAATCTTCAATTTAAAAATCTATTAAACTTACGTGTAATTAATTAAAGTTTTACATTTAAAAAAATGATATTATTTAATAATTAAAGCATTGAACTATATCATGTTATTTATAAATCTTTTTTCACCAACTTTCTTATTTTTTAAACAGCTCTCTCCAGCTTTTATTTTTAGTCATATCCTATTTAATTTTCTCTTTTGTTTAAAAAAATAAATTAATTGATTAATTTGATGTGATTTATTTATTTATTTTTAAAATAGACATTTTTTAATATTTTCTTATTCTATTTTGTAATATTTTAAGCAAAAAAAAATTATTTGGTTTTATTTTCTACAAATTTAAACAAAAATATGTTTATTTATTTCATTTAAAAAAATAATAAAATCTATTTACAATAAAAAATGAAAAGAAATCCACTTATAAATGAAAAAAAGAAATCAAATATCTTACTGAGTATTTAGAGTTAGAGTTTAAAGTTTAATATTCTTTTATAGGATGGTGCAAATATTTTTTAAAACTTCGAATTCAATGCTTGTTTTACTTTTAAAAAAGTTTAAACTAAATAAATGCTGAGATGATTTAAATTAAACAATTATTAAATAATATAAAAAAAGCGAATGAATGTAAAATTAAAGTAATTCTACAGTGATAAAAACATTTTACCTTAAATAGAGATCAAACTAAATTAGATTTCTGGAGTTTTATATATCTAAGCTTAAATATTTGTTTCCGTTCCCATTTAGATAGTTTGAACTTATAATATAAAAACAATAATTCAAATCATTTAATAAATAATAAAAAATGCAATATTTTTGTAATTAAATACTGTAAAAAATAAATATTCACTCATTTAAAAGTTATGGTAAATTTCATTTTATTTAAAAAAGAATTAAATTAAATAGTTTTTAACATAAAAAAAGTTAAATTAGAAATAGAGGAAAGTGGGTGAATATTTTTTAAAAACTTACTTACCTTAAATACAATGTTAAAGATACAAGAGATAAACAGCTCATAAGACCTGAGTTTAATCCATTTGCGCCCTGTACATCAATATTGTTGTTACTTTAGTATTTAAAATATAGTTTAGAGAAAGAAAATTAGTTTATAACTTAATAATTATAATAACAAAATCATTAAAAATATCAAAACTAAATTATTATACCTTAAATCTAATTCTAATTTTTTTAGTTTTTTACAAAATCCAATTTCAAAGCCTAAGATTGAAGCACCATTACCTCCGATATTATTGAAACTTTTTTAAATTTCAATTATATTATATTACTAAAAATAAATAATAATTTAACACAGTTTTAATCAAAATAAGAATCTAAAAATACATTCATATTTAAAACTACATTTTACTATTTGTTATAATATTGTTTCTTTTCTTTAATAAAACGTAATTTAAGATAATTAATTATCTTGTTTTATTTAAGTAAGATCATTGATTATAAATTCAAATGAAATAAAAGAAATTTATCACGTTATGAATAATGTCAGAAATTGCAGGTTCTAGTAGTACATAAAATTTGTGCTTAAATTTTTTATCCCTTACTCTCCAATTTTATTGAAGCTTTTTACATTTATTAAACAAATTAGTTAATTAATCATTTTTTAATTAAAAAAGTTTAAAATTTAAATAAAATAAAATGAATTTAAAGCCTTAAAATAAGATATTTTTGTTTAATTCAATAATATTTAAAATCTAATTTACCTCAAATATAACTTCAAAGTGTCAAGTTTCTTAACATCAATTAACGCAGTTCCCAAAGTCTAAGCTCCTTATTGTGTTATATTATTGTATCTTTACATTCATTATTATTCAAAAAAAATAACTAAAAGCATAAAATCAATTTTTGTTGTTTAAATGAAAATTAAAAATAAAAAAATTAAATTCTTATTTAGGTGAAAAAAAGTTTAAAATTAATAAACATTTTTTCTTGAAATTAAAATTGAAAAAATATTTAAATCTATTTTAAGTTTTAATTGTTTCAATCAAAAATAGTTTTAATGGAGAAAAATAAATTTTAAATTGATTAATTTATTTTAAGAATAATTTATGAAAAATATTTATTAAAAAATTAAAAAGTTAATTTCTCTTTTTATTAAATTTTCATTTAAAAAAAGCTCAAATTATCTTATTAAATGCAGTTGATAGATTACGCTAAATGAAGATTTAATATCTGGAGACTTTTGCATTTAGTTAAAGCAGAGCCTAGAAAGGTTATGCCTTCATCGCCAATTTTATTTGAGCTAAAATTATATTTAATTGATAAAATATTTTAGTTGGTTTAATCTCTTAAATTTTTTTGATAAATTTTAAAAGGAAAATACTTAAATTTTGTTAACGAAGTAATTATTTGATTAAAATAAAATGAAATAAATACGTTATTTAAATAGTTAGAGTTAAAAGACTTAAGCAATTACTAAAGGCTAATTCTAGTTGTTGCTTAAACACCTCATTTCCTTATTAGTTTGCTTAATTTTCACTATTATTAAATGAATGAATAATTTATTTATACCATATAAAGTATTTCTGATGCTAACATTTTTAAACTTAAAAATGTTAAAAATTTTAACAATAAAATTAAAAACGCTTTTATTGTTTTAACTTTATTGAGAAAAATGAAATTTACGATTAAAGACATAAAAAATAATTTATATTAAACAAAATATTTTTACTTCAAATACAAATTAAGATTCGAATGACAAGACAAATTTGAGGCAAGAAACTTTTATCACAAAAAAAAGAAAATATAACCCATAAATGCACTAAAAACGTAAGTTACTTCTTCTAGATTGTAGTAGATTTTTTTTATTAACTGATTTGTTTGATTCACTTTCATTTTTTATTTTGTTTCTATTTTTAAATAATAAATAAATCACTAATCTTAATTTATCTTAAATTAATTTTTATTATATTTATTAGATCTTACTTACTTAATTAGTTAGTAATTTATTTATAAAATCTATTTATTATTTCTTTTAAAATATTTTTTTTATATTTTATTTCAAATATTAGTTAGTCTTTTTATTTCTTTGAATTAGGTTTTAAATTTAAATATTTATTTTTTTTGTTAAAATTTTCATTTTTTCATCAAAATTATTTTTACATTTTTTCATTAGAAAATTAAAGAGAGAAATCATGATTTTATTTATAATTTTAAGTTTCAAAGTCA